TTTAATTATTTTGTCCGCCTAGCTCTACCTGTTAAGTTCAGAATACCAGTCTTAGACTTCACGAGAAGAATCATGTATTTCAAATATACTTGGTTTATATACAAGCCAAGCAGACCATATCATACCATAAATAGTTGGTAACATTTGTACAAGATCAAGCAAAAATGTGGCTTTGATTGTGGGAGACTGTGATTAATAAACTGGGCATAACTTAAGAATGGTAAATCGTATAGCAATAGTCTGTAGTTTAATAGTTGTAATTCATGAGTCGATTGAAGCTAGATCATCATAGAAAACCTGGAAGCACTGGATGTCCGTTTCGCCCTAGTATGAGACTCCTCAGCAGTGCGCAGCCACGATATCCACAAATCCCCTCTCCGATAATAGAGTGTAGGTTAAAATAAAGAATATAATAAGAGGAATATAAATATGTATATATAGTTTAGTCTCTTAACAGTTATGTAATAGGAATATATATATTATATTAGTCCGTAAATAGTTCTCAGAAGTTCTCCATAATTTAATCTTCTCTAGGATTTAACACTTATGATCATAAGTGTTTTTTGAGAATCTGAAAAATGTAATGAAACTACTGTGTGGTGTTCATTGATTTTTGTCCATATTTTAACTGTGATGAAAATGTGTATACGTTGAAAGACTTATGTTCCTTAGATGTAGAGCAAAATCTTATTAATAATTACTCCTCGTGAAAAAGCATAGGCAGCCCACTAGCACTTTCCATCCAACCCTGTCCTTGGCAATCCTTTGTAGTTCATTCCAGTTGCTATTTAGCTTTTTCATATCTGCTTCCATGTCCTGATGTAGTGTGTTCTTCGGCCTTCCTCTCTCCCATTTCCCTTCAGGATTCCAAGTTAGAATTTGCCTCGCGATTCAAGATATAGTCTAGGTGAAAAAATAAACAATTATAATTTTCCTCTGTTTATGTCACAGACTGATTTGAAGTTTTCAATGATTAAAAATCAAAAAGAATACAGTAACTATCTGGTTGTGGTATGATACTTCACAGTAATGCCCATCCACAACTCCAATATTCTGTGATCGAGCACAGAAGCAACTATTTTATTGCATTATGTGAACAACTAAGAACTATGGAAATTCAACCATCTCCACATAACCTTTGTACTATTATGAATCGTTCTCTCACTAGTAGCTGATATAAAGATTCAAATTCAGGGGTTCTGGTGAGAAGCTGTGACATTGAATCAATTTGGTCATGGAACAGTTATTCACTCCAGGGACTATATATATATAAACCATTAGATATCGAATCAGTTGTCTAGAGGACAAGCTTTTAGAATGACATATATATTTGATGTCTAAGGAGAAATTTATATTCAGTAAGCAGTTGTATGCCCAACAATTTTCACACCAATGTTGTAGCGCAAGTTGTAATATCCTGAAATGTTCGCATATACTCATAACGTTTATTGTACTTATCATTGTATTTGTCATTATAATTACTGTACCTTAATCACTGTAGCGGTTATCCGCAGTTTTGTGCATTTATTTAAACGCAACAGTTTCCATATGGTTTTGCTCTTGGTTCGAGTTTCGGTTGTTCGCAAACTGTTACCAAATTTAGACACAGCTATTAGCTGTCTTCTGTACTATCGTATGTTATAATTATTCTTTATGTTACTGTTACAGGAAGCCTTTTTATTTTCATACTGGAAGGACGCGTTTACATGCCCCAGACACCTCACAAGTTGAGGTTTGTAACTAAATTTTGTGTTTTGTTTAACAAAGAACCGGTATTGTAGACAAATCGTAGTTTTGGAAACTTCGGTTTTGCGCGTATCTCAATCGGGTGACTTGGACGCTTCAATAGATCTAACAATCGGTTATGTTTGACCGAAGTGAATATACTACTGAGTAATCACCTGGGTGGTCACTAGAACGAAACGGCCATTCAGGGATTCCAGGTTTTTAATAGTGGTCTAGCTTAGATTGACTTGTGTATTCAACTTTGAAAATGTATAAAAGATACAGGCTTGATAAAAAATTAGTTTCAATGTGATGTTTTTAAGAACTCTGGTTGAACATTATGAGTCAGTCAGTCAGTCTGTCTGTCTGTCAGTCAGTCAGTCAGTCAACTACAATGTAGGACCAGGCACATATATGCATTGGTTCAAGTTGCCACAACTCATTAATACAACAAGTTAAACACCGAATTCCTAGAAGTAGTTAATTCAATGGTGGTAATATATAAAAGAAAGTTTGTGTATAAGGATATTGTACAAGTAGAAAGAATTAGTTCGTGAAAATAAAGATATAAAGCAATTTTAATATCACAGTTTAAAGGAAGACACAGAGTGTATGCACCTACGCCATTGTGATCGATTTTGAGCCATGTCAACCAGAGTCTCTAACTATTGGTTACGATAGTCACGCGGACCCCAACCAAGTAACCTGCAATATGAGTTATGCAACCAATCAAGCATGTGATGAAATACCATCACAGATAATCAAATAATGCCTATACAATTTTTGTTTAATAGTTGAATTCATGAGTCAATTGAAGTTAGACAACCATGGAAAACATGGAAGCACTGGAAGGCTTTTTCGTCCTATTGTGGGACTCCTCAGCAGTGCGCATCCACGATCACGCCTAGGACCTATCGGTCTCGCGCGCGAACGCTTAACGTCTCAGTCGGCATCGAACAGTGTTAATGTCTAACTTCAACGAATCTAGGAAACTACGCGACCGCCCACCATTGTCTTCAGTGAGTTACCATTTCACAATAGACAAAGTTGAAATACACTGGCTTTTCACTAGAACTTCAAGAAATACATCTTGAAGCCGGTCACTACTGGCGAGCACATGATATTTATTATTAGATTGGGTGTTTTTGTGGAGCAGGATGGTGTCGTCATGGAGCTTTTATCGTTTTTCTGAACGATATCATCAAAATAAACTCAGCTCAGAGAACAAAAATCTATCAAAATCATATGTCCTTACGAAATTGATATTTAAAAAATTTCTTTTCAGATATGTATACATAATTGTACAGTTTGATTATAAATTTGTTAAAGAGGGATCTCCTTGTTGACCTTTGTGTTTTAAATGTTTAAATAGGTATTATATGTCGATTGAAGAAATGCAATGATCCTATGATGATGAAGGAACTCAATGAGATTTTTTTCAATGTAACACAGTCAAACTTACCTTAGTGAAATGTGAGATCAACTTTTCTTCGAAAGTTGTATCAAAAGCAATGAGTATTCTCAACGTTCCTGAAAGGCACTAAGGCGAAGTCATATTTATCTCAATGCTAAAACCATCAAACTTTATGCACTTAATTGTATGGATGCTATTAAATCTCGAGAGAAAGCAACATACCTCTGAGACGTCACTAAGATAAAGGATTATATTTATTTATCACTAGAAAACAATCACATATAGCTAAATTGAAATACTTGCAAACACTTAAACCAGTAGACGTTAATAAAAAGTTTCATGAAAACCCGATGTAAATATGTATTTTATCATTCTTCAATCACACTTTCCTCAATCCAAATGCAAGCCTTATCATTAAGTCCCAAATCCTGTTGAAATCAATAGACTTCATACGCAAATATAATTTGAAAATTCAGTAAATGAAACTCATGATTTAAATCCAACACCACAAGAATTCTAGCATTTCATAACCATGGTACTTGATTACTATCATGCATACATCACAACACAATTTAGTCTTAATGACATCAATTGAAAAGTAAGTAGATCAGCTAACTATCCTGACAAGAAATAAGGACTCAATCTTAAGTGAAACTGAGAATGGATCTATTGTGGTATTCCTTTGTAACCAGTTTTCTTCAAACAAGATACTGTTAATTCAAGAGGATGTTACCAAGTTTACAAACCATAATGAGAAGATAAAACAGCACAAATCGAAAATATATATCTCAGGTAACTAATGTTATTAAAAATATGAAGAACAAAGGGATAATAAACCCAGACTTATGGCATAACATACGTCTAGTGGGTTCGATCCTTCCGCGTTTATTTGAATTATAGAAAGTATATAAACCTCGGTTACCGTGAAGAACTATTTTGGATAATTCTAGTTAGCCTTACCACTGAATCAACAAAATAGCTGGCTGAAAAATTGGAATATGTTAGAAGACAAGTATCTAAATATTCTGTTCATGATAATTTTCAATTTCTTGATAGTATTAAGGATAATAGCACTTCCGGAAAGAACATAGACTGAAAACTACTATCAAATCGTTTCATAGAGAATAACATGAAAAGAAGTCGGAACAAGGAATCTGGTAATTACCTTTCAAAAAATGAATCTGGAATTCAAAGGTGATCGAATTTCTGATCTATCTAAAGTCGGTTAACAATAAAGTTTCCTTACATGAGGAAAGTCAGTCAATTCATTTGGTTTCGCACAAATTAAACAATCAACTAAGTAAACAATAATGACAATTCTGTGTATATTTTGCATTTAGGTAAAAGACTACTAATGAGTAGCTAAAATATTCTCACTAACGTCTGTGGGACTCGATTATAAAATCTAATGAAATGGTAGGAAGTGGGATTTTGAGAAGCAACACACACTCAGCAAATTCATTATCTTAACCTAAACAATTGTACTTGATTAAATGTCAAATATAAATGTTCACCTAAAAAGAATGTTACATAATTATCGAAACATTATGTAAGAGACATAGCTTTCAATTCAAGAGGTCATCACTAAAATCATAGTTATTCAACGTATTTTGTAAGCGTTTAGCTTCTTGACGGAGTTTTCTTCTCGAACGCTTCACTTCCATATGAACTTTGTACTGATGTGTCGTCCAGAAGAACGATCAAAGCTCCAACATCAAACCATTCAGCTCAGAGAACAAAACTCCATCAAAATCATCCACCTGAGCTACAAATCTTCTCTTCGTCTTTAGCTTCAAAATCACTCACTTCGAAAATTCTCAAACTATTCGCTGTTAAATAGTTAAAACAAAACTAGACGAAATAATGATCGATTACTTAAAGAATTTATTTGCAGGTTCAAGTATAAATGAAGGTTCATTCAGTAGGTATCAATTACAAAGGTTTGATTTGTTAAATTCCAATTACAGATATATTATTTTATTAACAGGTTGATTCAGTTCAAAAGTAACAAGGGAGTGTAAAAAAGAACATGTAGCGAAGTCAATATGGAGAGGAAGCAAAAGATTTGGGTATGTCACACAGTCAAACAAAGTAGAAAGCAACTGCGTTAATATTGTCAGTATTCACAATTCATAGATTCCAACGTAATTTCCGACCATTACATCCATCATTCCACCATCGTGCCACACGCGGAACCCAATAGGGACCAAATGAATGACATGTATGAGCTAGTAGACACATTGCACATTGAGGTTGGGAATCCCAATCATGTATGATTCCATGACCATGCCATGCAAAATATTCATTATATGCAGTATCGTTCTTGTCCAAATACTTCAAATAGTCTGCCAGTTTAGCTGGTGATTCGAATTGATCAACGTGAATGAACGAGTATGGAGGAGCGACTCTTTCATATTCCTCTATCGATGCACCCATCACAATTGGAAGTAGATCGTTTCTTGAAATGAATAAAAAGTATGATAATCCGTCAAACATTGATCTAAACATCAATTTACAGTTTATTCAACAACAACAAATTGCATATTCAGTAGAAAATAGAATTCATGATATCAGCACTTTGGTAAAAATAATGTCACATAACAATCATGAAAAATATAACCTTTTCTTCAAAAGCTCTGGAGATTACGTAAACCATCAGGGTTACACTAGTCTGGTTGTCTGTTAAGTGTTGAATCCTATTGCTCAAACTACCCGAAAAATAAGCTATTAAAAACTACCAGTTTAAATTGCAGATATCATTTGGAACTCCTCCTATGAAACCACTTTTATAGGTGATATGAAGACGGAAAATTGGGCCTGGCAATACCATCGTTATTGGTTGAAGTTTCAGTGATCCATGGCTTAAGCACATCAGTTCTTATTTTTCAAGAATTCCGTCCTTCTGGACAGTGGTATTATCTTTGATATAAAGTCAACTAGGGTTTAAGTGAGTAATAATATGGCCTTTCAGAAGCCATCGCATCGCTACATCGTCTCACTGCGGTCATCCGGGAATTTACTCACCGATCTCAACAACAAAAGATTCGCTCCTCAAATCATTGGAAACCTTTCCAATATCAGCGACATAGGGATCAAAATTGTCTGTCAAAATATCAATTCCTACAGATAAATGGAATTTATTATGCATGCAGTTATTGATGTTCTAGATAGAAAATATTGAAATACTTTTTAATGAATTAAAAATGTGGACACTACTCACGCGGTATTGAATCAGAATGAAATACAGTACTGTGGGAATTATGAGTTATGGATGGAGATCAATGTTCATGCAATAATGTAGTGGTCAAAGTCAATGATATATACATAACAAAGTCTATGGACAGTATTGAAGTCATTGCCAATTCGAACTCAGTCAGAATTTCCTAGAAAATTTCTTCAATTTCAAGACCAGAACCTTCAATTTTGGTCAAACGACTTTCAAATAACTTTACGATATATATGCCAAATCAATTATCACTAGCTGCACATCAAATTATCTTGCAACAACCATTGGTGAGTTCAGTTATACAACATTAATACTTCAGATACACATGGCTTTATCAATCACAACGTAGACCCAATGCTCAACTTAAAGAGAATTAAAGTGAATTCTTTCACATTAATCATTAATTGGATCTTGATTCTTTATCCAATAGGTGCTTAAAATTTACGTCGTTAAAATGATTCAATCAGATCACAATAAAACAAAACAGTTCTAATTATTTAAACTTATATATTTTAAGTCAAATATAAGAAAAGACTTTTGAAAAGCTAAAACCAGTTTTGCCTTAGTATGGGACTCCTCAGCAGTGCACATCCATGATCCCGCACAAGGAACTCAAACCCAAGAACTCCAGTCTCGATAAAATTTGAGGACACATGAAACAAACTCAAAGTATCACATTTTATCAGTGTTGTCACATAAGTATCTTACACAAGGCGATACGATTAGGCCTGCCAACAATGTTTTGATGGCTCAATAGTGATGAACTGGCTCCACTGGTCATGGCTTCTCACTAAACCTCCGAGAATTCTCTTACGAACCTAGTCACTAATGAGCACATGATAATTATCAGTATTAATTCATTTTAAAATTTACCTATAATCATAAAACAAACAGAGAATAAAATTGAAAGATTCCCTTTTATAATGATGTTTGTTTTATAAATTAATTCGAAATTGATACGTTAGTTTATTTTAGTTGACCAATTCTTTATGTATTTCTTAATGTTAATAAATTATTAAGTGGATATTGTTATGTTTTCTTCTTTTCACGCGTATAAACTATTCACCTTGACCTTGATTTGTTTATATTCTTATTGTTTTTATTGTTAATCACCAAGGTATTCAAATGTGCCCAGTTTAATTTCCTATATAATAGGTCGGAATAATCAATAATAATAAAATATACACATTAAACTTACATTTCAACTATACACCCTACTTGTATGGAACTCTTTATATATTATGATTTTAAATATTCATTCTTTCTTATTGAGTTTATTATTATCATTATTATTATACTGAATTAGTATAAATTCCTTTGATATTATTAGAACGGAGGTTTTATGGAGATTGTAGTAATTTCAACAACTGAATTCATGAGTCAATCTAAGCTAGGTCATCATTGAACGCCTGGAAGTAATAGGACTGGTGAGTAGTGCGCATCCACGATCCCGCATGTGGGACTCGAACCAGAGACCTAAGGCCCCACGCAACAACGCCCACATTAATCATTAATTGAATTTATTTATTTTTCCCGATTTTTACCCATTATTTCATCCATTCATTTATAAAAGTGATTCTACTTTGTTCTGTTCTATAATAAAACATGTTTATTAATGATAAAGTTCGTCGATCGGTTGAAGCTATACATCAACTCAGTTGGATACCGGCTAAATGGTTTGCAGGTTAAAAGTTCGCGCGTGAGACCGAAGTTCATGGGTTCGAGTCCCATGTGCGGAATCGTGGAAAGTTCCGTACTAGGACGAAACGACTGCCTGGATTGATCGATTCATGATCTCAATCAATAATTCATCAATCTTCACAAGCTCATACTTGTAAAAATTATTGGAAATGAACTCACAAGAGAAACGGATTCTGTGATTAAATCAATTATCTCTTTACTGAATCGTTATACTGAAATCAAGTATCACTTGTAAGTTAGCTAGAGGAAAATGCATGATAAAATGTTCTAACAGTAAAACGTTTATGTTTATTTATAATTTCAAACAGTGATATTGTTATATTGCATTATTATGTACTCATCAGTGACTAATCTATTGAGATATTTCCCTAAGTTGTAGTGAAATTTAACCACATTTGGTTTGAGGCGGTTACTTGCTGAAGATAATGAAAGATGACTATGCAATATCACGAGTTGGTTGAAATTAGACAAGTTGACCGTTAAATACTAGTAGAATACTCTAAAGATTAAGCGCTCGTAGAGCGACATGAGAGTTCTGAGTTCGATCACCTGTGGCGGTGAGATCGTGGATATACACTGTTTAAAAGTCTCACATTAGCATCAACCAACTGTTTAATAGTTCCTGGTTTTTCAGCAACACACACAATTACTCATCGAATTAATATGACAACTAATTATTAGCAATACTTCATTATCCAACCATAGTTATTTAAGGATATTGTCTTTTTCTTGATAATAATCCACTGTAATAACACCCTGATTGATAGTTTAATATACACGAAGAATTAGCAGTACTGAAAGAGTATCATTATTTTATTTAATTGATTATTTTATTATATGAAGACTATATAAAACTTTATTATTGTAATTATCACATCTTTATCTAATCACTGACTTACTTCAATGCATTCTTATAAAGTTTCTCAGTGATATACCAACTGCATAAACTATTTTCAAAACTCAGATAAAATTTGTAGTTCTGACGAATCAATTTAAAACAGTCAAGTAACGAAGGGTCATTTATCAAATTCCTAGAACATACTTTTGTACCACACTTACCATATATATCAACCTGTAAATAAAAGAATTCAAAAGTTATACTAAGATCATTCAATATGTTGTAAACTACAATATCATAAATGATCATTTGATCCAATCAGTTACAGAAAAGCACTTGTTAAAACATTATTTCACAGGACCAAAAAAGTATTATGTAATTCTGATACATCACAAAAGGAACTAATGAATGTGAGTAGATGTTTAAAGAACAACGGGTACCCAGTGAAGCTTGTTGAAAAATATGCTAAACATGAAGATAAAAAACCCAAAGAAACTACAGTAAACAAAGGTGATGATATCACAGGGTCAATCAGTTTGAGACTAAAACCTTCAATGACAAGAATTTATCTTACAGCTAAACTGATTGTCCTGTCCAAAGTAACATTTTCTTTAACACAATCAAAGTTCGATAGGTATCCCTTTCATATTACCACCAACTGTGTATACAAATTTCTATGTATCTGCCAAAGCGGGTACATTGGTAGGACAGAAAGAAGAGCCTACTGCAGATTCAAAGAACATAATCCGAAAAGTCTAAACTCAAATGGATTAAAAGCATTCAATAGTGCCATCTCAAAACGTTTCCTTGATAGAGAACATCAAGTCGATACACTAAAGTCATTCAAGGTGATTAATAAACGACCAAACTCCAATCTTCTGAAATTTACCGCAACGATAGCGATCAAACGTCTAAAACTAGATCCACCTATGCAAAAAGAATTAGTAAAAAATCTTTCTTTGGCCTGGTAAAATTTCATCCTTTTTTATTGCATCATTCATTATTTCAACTCTTTCTGAAGTTTGGTTACATGAGTGTCATTTTTCCTCAATTCATATCTTTCTTTATTTCCATTAGTCTATTTTCAGTTGCTTCATTATATAATCATCTAATGTTTGTTAACTGTGAGTTCTAATCTCTATTATAATGTTTTGGAACTTTCGCTCTCAAACTTTGTTCATTTATCTGAAACAAACAATTTTTTAATGACCTCATTAACTCTATTGAAATCTTCACTACATCATAATATACTAGTAACTGGCTTCAACAGGTATTTTCTGGAATTCTAGTGAGAAGCAGTGACCAATGAAGTTCAACCGAGTGTGTTGTGAGAAAGTAACTCACTGAAGAAAATGATGGGTGTTTTTCTCGATTTCGTGGATTGTTTGAAGCTAGACATTAACACCGTTGGATGGCAGCCAGCTCAGCAGTCTAAAGGTTAAGCGTTTGCGCGCGAGACCGATAGGTCCTAGGCGTGATCGTGAATGTGCACTGCTGAGGAGTCCCACAATAGAACAAAACGGCTGTCCAGTGCTTTCAGGTTTTCCTTGGTTGTCTAGCTTCAATTGACTCATGAGTTCAATTATTGAATTCATATTATTCTGCACAAATCTTCCTTCTTGCTCTCTCTTTAAGATAATCAACGGTGTTATGTGTATGAACTTAACGTTTTGTAATAGATGAATGATTGATCTACATAAAATAAGAAAACTCTATATTCCCTAGTCTGATTCCAACTAGCTAGTTTACTTTACTTATATTAATTTTCAGTATAGGGGTTGTGGAGATTATTAAGTTTTTGATTAACATCATGAACTGAGTGATGTTACACCACCATTAAAAACGTGGAAGCACTGAACTGCCATTTCGTTCTATTGTGGAACTCCTCAACAATGTGCATCCACGATCCCGCTCGGGAGGTTCGAACCCAAGGCTTTCAGTTTCACGCGCGAATGCTTAACCTACTGAACCACTGAGCCGTCATCCAATGGTGTTAATGTCTAGCCTCAACCAATCCACGAAATTTCGCGACAATCATCCATTTCATTGAAGTAGATACCTGTCTCTACCCGACAACGATTGGCTCCACTGGTCATGGCTTCTCACTAAACCTCCGAGAATTCTCTTACGAACCTAGTCACTAATGAGCACATGATAATTATCAGTATTAATTCATTTTAAAATTTACCTATAATCATAAAACAAACAGAGAATAAAATTGAAAGATTCCCTTTTATAATGATGTTTGTTTTATAAATTAATTCGAAATTGATACGTTAGTTTATTTTAGTTGACCAATTCTTTATGTATTTCTTAATGTTAATAAATTATTAAGTGGATATTGTTATGTTTTCTTCTTTTCACGCGTATAAACTATTCACCTTGACCTTGATTTGTTTATATTCTTATTGCTTTTATTGTTAATCACCAAGGTATTCAAATGTGCCCAGTTTAATTTCCTATATAATAGGTCGGAATAATCAATAATAATAAAATATACACATTAAACTTACATTTCAACTATACACCCTACTTGTATGGAACTCTTTATATATTATGATTTTAAATATTCATTCTTTCTTATTGAGTTTATTATTATCATTATTATTATACTGAATTAGTATAAATTCCTTTGATATTATTAGAACGGAGGTTTTATGGAGATTGTAGTAATTTCAACAACTGAATTCATGAGTCAATCTAAGCTAGGTCATCATTGAACGCCTGGAAGTAATAGGACTGGTGAGTAGTGCGCATCCACGATCCCGCACGTGGGACTCGAACCAGAGACCTAAGGCCCCACGCAACAACGCTCAGCCTCTAGACCATTGAACCGGTATTCAAAGGCATTCATGTCTAAGTTCTTTGATGCTAATAAATAGAGAGTCTATTCATGATAACTTTCATTAGTAGAAATGTTCGCTTAATATTTAAACTGTTCATATGTTTAGAAGGTGTTTGGTGGAGGTTTTATAAATTTCACGAGTTGAAATCATCAGTCAATTAAAGCTAGACCACCATGGAAGACATAGAAGCACTGGACGGACGTTTCTTCCTAGTATGAGACTCCTCAGCAGTGCGCATCCACGATTCTAAGTCAATATTTAGTAACTAATATTCAAAAAATTGACTAGTGCATTTTCATGTCGCATGTGTTTGAATGCACTGTGTCTATTTGGTATCCTTTTATCATTTTGAATTCACTTCTCAAATATTCACTGTCTGTGTCAAGAAATCATGATTGTTTACGAAACTAAATGGATCTACGTCTTTCAATTAACAAAGTAAAACGTTCGTGTTATTCGAAGCTAAATTGCATAACACTTACCGAGATATATTTTGAAAGTTCCTCAGCATATTGTAGTCTAGGACTTTTAGCTGCACAGTTGCTCACAAACCATGCTACTTTTTTCGATTTGCCAGCAGCAAAATTTCGAGAAGGCAGAGGATATCTTGTTTTTGGTCCATGATACTTTAAATACGGTTCATAGTAACCGTATGGTGAATAAATCGTTGAATCAAAACGATAGGATATGGTAAAGTTAACCTGAATATCAGTAACAATGTTTAATGAAAGTGCCTAATGCCATACGTATTAAATAATAGTAATAATAATAATAATAATACTGTATTCTGAAAATTAGTACAGATTACACACCGATGTAAAAGAATGATCTACCTGATACAATTCCCTAACACTTTCTAGAAGAAAATGAATTACAAATTATTTCAAAGTGAGGATTTTCTACAACTCTAATGAAGAGTGGAGAATTCTGAGTAAAATGAGTACATTACAATATCAGTATTCGTTTACATTTCATAGCAAAACAGGTATAGCAAGCATAAAGTTTTCGTTACTATACAAACAACTGATAGTAATATATAGATTTACCAATCAGTTGGTGCACTGTAAGTAGATAATGATTATTATTACTAATTCATGATATTATATTTGATTCAATGATTAATTATTAACATTTGGAACCGAATCATTATTAGAAAGTGATTTTGTCGACAAAAACCATTAAAGCAAAGTACAATTCTTATAGACACATAGGGACAAAATGTACAGATTTACACATATCACTTACTACGGTTAGACAACAAGTGAAAATAGGCAGACATTCAACAATTATTTACTCCAAGCATGTAACTCCACAGAAGCATTTATCCGCGACCAGACCAAGGATCAAACCGAGCATCTTCCAGACTCTCAGAGATCATTCATTATTCAAACCACTGAGTTTCATTTCATTGGTTTGCATTTCTAACTTCAGCTAGTCAGACAAATCGCGAGCTCATCATCTGTTGTCACTTGTAACATTTGCTTCGCTCCCAACATGATTTAACTCCAGTCATTCCTACAAGAACCTAACGAATCACGTATTGCAGTTAACTGTAAGAAAATGATGATCATTAATCGTTTTCAAGGCGTCTGACTGAAGTCAGTCTGTGACGTTAAACTGCAAACTTCACAATCTCTACAACTCTTTGGAAATCAATGACAATGTCACCTACAAATTCCGGTGTTGTAGAATTAGTAAAACCTTAAACTCAAGTAAGATTTACGTTAAATTATGTGATTACTTTTAGTCAGGATTATAAACATTGTCCGTTAGAAATGTCATAATTACATTATCAAGTAAACTATGAACACTGAAAATGTGAAATAACACTATGTAGCCAAATCAAAGAAAAAACTATTGTAAGTCTATGTTTATTTTTAAAGTGAGAGTATCTGATAATTCTAAGAATTACATCGATCGCAGTTTATGATTTCGTAAAACAATGCGTTGCGTTTCTGTTAAAACTAGAACAATCGATATGAATGAGATAGTAGATTTGTAGCTCAGGTGAATGATTTGGGTGGAGTTTTGTTCTCTCAGCTGGATGATTTGGTTACGGAGCTTTCATTGTTCTTCTGAACAATATCATCAGCACAAATTTCAGATATAAGTGGAGTGTTCGAATTTCTCTACATATGACTCACAGCTTATCCTATCGAACTCGATCTTGATTGATTCTTATTGACCTTTAACCTGTTACTTTGTACTTTATTGCTTTAGTTGTATCGCCTATTTGTTTGACCAAACCATCCAGCTCAGAGAATAAAACTCCATCAAAAATGGATGTGAATTCTATATCAGTGATCGTTAACAGCGATAGTACAATGAGAAGAGAAAATTTGAAACTTCGGGAACAATTTAAGAAATAAATAAACACATATATAGCCAAAACTCAAAACACATGAAGTCACAGATTCAGATTATAATCCATTCGATTTGATCTAGTAAACAAGGTAGTAGGATCCACGCTGAAAAAGTGAAGTAAAATGACAAAGATACGAATTCGTACTTGTTTGTAGTTGTTTAAATTTGTAACTGGTTGGAATTTAACTGATATTCACCCGGTGTTTAAAATGACAGTATTCCTCTACATTCATTGCTACTTGTTATACGAATTCATTCAGAAACTGTTCATTCGGATAAAGTATCTATCAACAGACATATCAAAATCGAATCAGTCTATCAATCAGCACGGAGAGGGATAGATAACTATAAGGTTAATGAACAGATCAGACGTGAAAACAACAAATACATACCTATGGACAACAGTCAATTGAATTCAACAGAACTAGCAGGTAGTTAATGATGAATAAATATTAAGTAGTCACATACCTTAAAGTATGTTTTGATGATATAGTCCAGAAAAACAATGAGATATTTTAAGGATTAAACCATTCATCATGAAGAATGAGATCACTTCAAAAGTCTTCGGAGCCTTACCAATCTAATGTATTGACAGAACACATTTAAGTTGTTATGATTTTATGTCCGGCTTTTTATCACGTGACCTATCCACCTATCAAAATACGACTTATACAATCTTCGCACTATGTTAAACCAATGACGTTCGACCGGTATGAGCAGTCTAACGTCCTTATTGGTCCTACGTCCGTCTAGCCCGTCCGCTTCACTCCAAAACACAACACCAGCTTCTCCAATGTGAATCATTTATTCCACACATACTCGGTTTATATATCAACCAGACAAACTACAACGTACCATAAAATAGAAAATAACATGTGTACACAATAGAGCCAAAACGTGGCTGTGAATGAGACAGATAGTAATTAATAGACAGGCCATAACTCAAGAATGATAAATCGTATAGTAATAGTCTATGGGTCAAATTAAAGTTTATAACAAGAATATATACCCTGAAGAAGTCCAGACAAGTTAGCTGGACGAAACGTTGGAATTAGTTAAATTTCAATCGCTGAGAATATTTCGAATATAATTTTCATAAATAGACATAATCTAATTATTGAATAATTATATAATAAGAATATTTATGGAATGTTAGCCTATTAATTGTCCTCTGAAGTTACCCATAATTCAATCTTCACTGGGATATAACGTAAGTAGTGTTGATTAGAAATTATTTTGCTGATATTCTATATATTCGCCTGATGCATTAATGATTATGACTGAAGTCAACATGAATTAGTGACTCTTTCAGTTATACTCTTAGTAATTGTCTAATTAAATTCAAGCAATAATCATATTAACATGTTGATATTTTTGACTTGAAGACATTTCATTCAGTAATTGAAACTAATTAGATAACTCAAAGTAAGAAGAGTTAATTCATTTGAATTTGCCTAATGGTACTTAACCATGGTGCCTAATAAGGGATGGGATGCATTGGTATGAGTGAACACCATTATATCTTGTTCACACTGATAACTTTCACAGCAATATATAGTAGATCTTAATTTCCTGAATAGATCTGTTGTCAATTTTATATTTCTTTATCAGATTATTGAAACATTCATCGTAAATCAATGAAATAATATGAACCATCATAGAATGTATACAAGTCAATAGATAAATGTGTATACAAAAAGAATATTGGATGATCAATGAAAGAGTTTTCAATAGAGCTTTTCCTATTCCTATAAACAAATTCAACTAATACAAACTGCTGTTGACGTTTTCCACTATTAGTTTAATTTGTAATAATGAAGTGTTATTAAACTATTTTAAGAATCATTATCTATAAACTGAATCACTGTACTATGATTACGTTTTAGTTATTCTATAATATAAGTTGTACAATATGTCTCACTTCATTTTCTAGTGTGTTTGCCAATGATATATGTTTAGGAGATTCATGTGTTAGACTAAACCATAATTGTCCATTTGGTCGAATTCCATTTGGTTGTTCATCTTTTGTTAAAATAAGTGCATCAGCTTCACGCCATCTTTCCATTCCGGTGATAAGTGTACATTTTGAAGCATAACATTTAGAAAATTTCTTTGGTATATAAATTTTCTGAGATCCATAGATGAGAAATGTTTTCACCTAATATGCAAGAAAAACAGTAGTATGTGGTTCATGTCTATATTGTCACATGTATTCAATGTTTCAAAAGATGGTGTGAATGAACATCCTAATACTGATGTATACATAATATAGCTTCATCAATCAATTATATTACTGAAGTACATCTATCTCAGTCGTAGTTCAGTCACTAAGACTGTATTCAGACGAATTCAGTTTAAATTTGCTGCCTAAATATTTCTTTATATATTACAGAGATGTTGGTTGGATTTTATACCTTACTAAAATATTCCTATTACAATGTAAATGTAGCTGATTTTTCTACTGTTTCAACTAATATCTTCCAATGAAATTTACTTTGAAATATATATTACATTTTATGATTGTGAATACAATCATCTTGAGTACTGTTAGAGGTATGAAGGTAGTTTTCACTTCCCGGTTGCCCACACCGTGGACGAGTTCTTTTAGAGGTACCTGAAGAAGAAATGGGGTTGGACAAGGTCTAAGTGACCTGAGAGCATAACCACAGTGACCAATGGACAATTGCTTGAGGTCGGTCACACACAACCTTTTTGTGAGCAATTTTCGTGTTAGCTCAGGACTTGTTGCGATCTTACCGCCGGAGACGGATATCCGTATGGTAAAGCAAGGTGTGTATATTTAGGGTCGACCTCTTTTAACCCTACCCTTCCAAGTGAGAAGGCAGCATCGCTGTTATCCTGGTTGTCTGAAGGAAACAATTCACCGCCATCACATCTCTGTACAAACAACAGTACGAATTCGCACTCATACTTTGAGTTTGCTGCTTTTAGTCTTAGCGTTCTTCAACCGATCTCTCTGGCATCGTAAGGCCTTCAGAAACGATTGTTCCAACCAGTATAGCTAGGTTGGTTCATCAAGATAAGCAAGCTTGACCACCATATCAAGGTAGCAACAACGTTGTAACTGACTGATAATTACGTATTTTTCCCCAAATTATGTTAAGATATCTTGAATTGTGACGTTGAACAATTGGAATAGAAATAGTTACTTATTGATTATTCTAGATGGAGTGGTACAATCAAGAGGTGAAACCGCTGTTAATCAACTTGAAGGTTTCATTAGTTCGGGAGGTAGTCTCAGTTTGCATAGAAGAGGGAGATCGCTGTAAAATACTCCGAAATGGAGTTACATAGTAAACCTATAAAGACCATTATCATTTAATCTCATTGTTTTTTAATAAACATTAATGAATCATTACGATCATCAGCATCCCATATAACATCATAAGAAATTTGACCAGAAACTGATTCATTTGAAGCATTTGTGCCATAATGATTTTCGATTTCACTTGATGTGGCTAGATACTTAGAATGTGTGGAACCTCATAAAAAAGAACATTTGAACATTGGGTGGAGTTTATCTTATTGCTGCAGTAAATGTATCAGTTATCTCGTTAAATAGATCTATAATTTTTGAGTTCGATTCCGGATTTAATTGTTTGAGCATGTATTCCTTCAATATATTGATAAGCGTTAAACGGGATTTAATAACCACATCTTCATCAAATTGAAGCATTGATTTTAATTCTTACATTTTGTAACTGCAGCATTTGTTGTAAACATGATTTAATAAAGAGAGAAAGTTTATTTATAACCAAAAACAGAATTTGAGGGCAAATAGAGTTGACTGAGTTATAACTGGAACTAGATAGTTCAATTGTTATGGCTGTTTGTTATCCGAAATCACCGTCACCACTTGTCATATCCGCATCAGTTATTACTTATACTCAAAAGAAGGAACCACTACAATTTCCACGAGGCAAAAGTAAGAACATGGAAGGCTGATACAAGCAAAGTATTACTAACTCTAAAACACGACGACAACCCTAATAGAAAATGAACTCATTTATATATTGATTTGTATAGATATTTGATCATAAGTTAGTAAAAAAATGTCACATATATGTTATTATAACAAAGTCGCACATTGCATGTCGTGCTGAAAATAGGTTACGTCAATTTAATGCAAGAATATCGTATCTTGAATAAACTTCATACTGAAGTCTATATTTTATTTATTTGAACATAAATATTGGTACAAAGGGGCGACGAATACATATGCACCACACGAGTCACTTGATTTGTGTGTAGGTTATGATACTTCCTGGGTGCCCAAACCGAGGCAGGTGTTTTGCTTAGGGAGCCACACCCGGTGCCTCCAACCCTAAGGCCTGATCCACAAAGAAGTTGAGCAACTTTAGGAAATGCAGTCCCATATTCGTTAGTGACCAATAATTGGTTCATACGCCATTTATTCCCTTAGAGTCCTGTAGCCTATGTACACCACTGGTTTGTAATCAGGCTCTTCCAACTCCCTTATGTGAATCTTCCATATACACCAACCAAGGTTAAAGGAAATCCTCTGAACTTTGTCGAGATCATTTACATTCGTCTCAGCAGAATGCATTCAAGACTTAGTGAAAATAAAAAGCAAAAAAACGAATTTCACATATTCTCTGTTATATCATCAAACTTCTCGAGTCAGAAATCTTGGTATATCATAATACAATTGAAGACATGCTAGAAAAATACAACATCTAAGCCTGAACAAAGATCAATTAGCAGTCAAACGCCATGACATATTCTCGGTTATAACAATGCATTTGAACAACTGTGGACACACATTCGACTGGAAAAACGGTGAGATATTGGAGAGAGAATTCCAAAAGTACCAGAGAGTTTTTAGAAGCTTGACACTCAGTTCAATCAGCAATCAACAAACACATTGAAATCTGTCAAAACCATCGACCAATTAGAATAATCATGGACAAATATAGGATCAAGAATCAAATTAATGGCAGATAAAACCAAATTAAAGAAGTAGGCAATGACAGGATAAGGGTCAACAACAATCAATCAACATCGAGTTCGACAGGATAAGCTGTGAGTCATATGTAGAGAAATTCGAACACTCCACTTATACCTGAAATTTGTACTGATGATATTGTTCAGAAGAACAATGAAAGCTCTGTAACTAAATCATCCAGCTCAGAAAACAAAACTCCACCTAAATCATTCACTTGAGCTACAAATCTTCTCCATCATCTCAAATACAACAGTACATTCAAAAACGCTGAATAAATAGAAATAGTACCATTCTATTTAAAGCCAAAACAAATTTCTATTTCTTTTATTTCAATGGTCAACTTACTGAATTATTTTTACTTAATGAGTCATATAATCTCTTCAGTCTGTTTTCTTCTACATCAAATCTCAGAGAGTGATTTTGAATGGAAGTTTCATTAATAGTAGAATACATTTTGTGCAATCTCATAGTCAGGTTGAACTCTGAAGAGTTTGAAGCAAATATATTTCCATCAATCAGTTCCATATTCTCTGATAAGAATGTGTAACTTTCATTGTATATACCATGATAGAGTAAACTTGGTGAGATGTTGATCAACCATATGATGAAAAGGTCAATGAGTATGAAGCAAATGGCTTTAATTCTAAGAGTCCATTTATCACGTTGCGCAATCATAGTGTAAATGCCAACCACGTCAAACCCCTATGAGATAATTCAGTATAGATACAAAAGATGACAGATAAAAGGATGATGAGAGTATGTTAAGTAGTTAATGTAACAAGTTAAATTAGTTTCACTACTAGCTAGGATGGATTGATCACTATAACTAGATGGTCAGCCAGTCAGTAATAACCATGATTTACTACGCGTTATTCACGAACAAAACCCATGGTTCCTTCGTTTGAAAGAAGATCAGATGGAGAGCATTTGCTCTTTACTGATGTAGGGAGCTGCAGCTTTTGTAATAACCGATCTTGTCTACGGAACATTATGAAAGCGAATCATCGCACAGTAGGTCTGCAGTATGCATTGGCGTGTGTTCAAATAGTCTAAACTTCCGGGTTTGTTCACTAGTTTTCATAATGTTGACTAAATGGGTAGTTTTGGTCACTTCGCAGTGTACAACATCAAGCTGCGAGACAAAGCACAGACTCTGTAATGCTTTTTCTTCTGTCAATACAATCAGAAGAAAATACCTTGCCAGTTTACAAACATCACAGGAATTGACGGTACTCATGAATCCTTTAAAGAAGGAATCTCAATCTACTAGTTGGTGGCATTGGATACAGTCACTGTGTTAGCATTTGCGTGCATAGTCCATGAAATATAATGACACTGTTAACTGAATAAGTCTCTATGAAATACGGTGGGTATCGTATCACTTTATCATTCTACTAAAGCATGTTAAGATTTATGTAACATTTTATTTTATTCAGCTGTAATATATTCTTTTCAGTTGATAAGATCTCTATTATAGAACCGATTCTTCAAACCAAATTAATTATCCGCGTGTCATGAATATATTCATTTAAAATATTCATAAGGTGTGAGGTAACCTTCCGAAAACATTCTTACACTTCAATGATTATTACATGTTGTAAGCCCAAATTATGCTTACTATATATATTTAACGACAAAGGCTTATCCAGTATAAAAATTCATCTTGAGTGTGAAACATTGGTATGGCAAAGCAGGGACAACGAAGTCTGAGACAATTAATGAACATTATGTAAATTAAGTATTAAAGTATGATTTTTCTATTTCATTAAGTAACTCTGTATTCTCATGCCAAGTATGATTCGATTGTCCTTACCTGTGTTCTCCTTCATTACAATATATTTAGTATATATGTAACATGTCATTAGACTACTTGTATGTACTTAAATTGTTAGTACCATGTTTCTGAGTAAACATTCTATTAGGAATTCATCAAATACAATTATTTACAATATTACGTTTATTAATTCTATACTATTTTAGGTCAATATTTTTAACGATTTCGAGTACCAAGTTGAAGGTGACCTTATTAACAAAACAGTTTTCATGAGAAAAGAATTGCACAATGAGTCAAATAAACTGAATTCTAAGGGCTAGAAAAGTTCAAACTTTTGACACACATATAGCATTCCTGTGTCAGTCATTTAATCAATCAGTAACAACGTGGAACTTCATTTGTACCCATATCAGTTCGAGTTGACGTACAGAGATGCAGTTGTCGACTTAAATCCCATAGAGGTAGAGGTGGTAGGAGTGTAAGCAGTAATCGGAAAGATTAGGGTTCGAAGATGTTATTCAAGGAGTATAATCCAGTGAAATAAATTTGGAAAGATAAAAAACGAGACAAGGAGAATTCAGAAGATTGGAATTCGGGAGAACACAAAGAGTGGATGCACTTGAGCCATTGCAAACGATTTTCAGCCATGTCATTCAACGTCTCTAGCCATCGGTTGCTATCGTGTCGTGGATCCCAACCAGTTAGTCTACACTTACCAACTCAACTCAGTCCACTTGTCAGTGACTTCATGGATTTTTACTATGTTTTGGTCTGGCCACCTGTAGCTTTCTTCCAACCTACTTATACACCATAAAACATCGCACGTCGTGGCAGTCGGTGGTTGGGAATACGTAACACGTGTCCCAGCCATCTCAACTGATCAAGTTCTACTACTTCATCAATTGATTTGCCATCCTCACCTAGTACCCGTTTCCTAACAACTGCATTAGTTACTCAGGATATACGAGCAATGTTTCGAAGACACCTATGATCGAATACTAGTAACCTACGAATATCCTCTACTCTTACTGGCCATGTTTCACTGCCATGTGGTAGGACGGGACGAACTGCTGCTCAGTAAACCCGTCCTTTGGTTGCTAGAATGATACCTCGCCTACGCCATAAATGACGCAAGTTAGCAAAAGCCAGTCGAGCGTTCTGAATCCGTGCTGAGATTTCGTCACACACCAGACCACAAGTGCTGATAAGACGCTTGTGTACAGTTGTTCAGTTCAAAGAACGATTAACAACTGAAGTTATGAATATCTTAGTGAATGGTAATAGTCTGGACCAAAGTTTTCGATGTGAACTGAATGATAACATGACAGTTATTGATTAATAAATGATTTAATCCACCCATAATGTCTATTCCATCCCAAACCACATATAACATAGATAACAGCAATAAAGGATGTTGAATTAATTAGTCAAATATATTTGTACTAAAGGGCACCGGATACATATGCACCACACGAATCACTTGATTTGTGTGTGGGTTATGATAATTCCCGGGTACCCAGACTGAGGCAGGCAAGGAAGTGGAACAACTTCAGGAGATGCAGTCCCATGGTAGCCCATGGCCAACGATTGATTCGTACTCCATCTGTTCCTTTAAGATCATGGAGCTAATGTGCAAAGTTGGTTTGGAATCAGGGTTTTCCAGCTCCCTTAGGTGGACTCTTCGTGTCTACCAACCCGGTTAAAGCGCCGGACATTCGCTTTCCGTCCTTTGAATTTCGTAAACAAAACCCGTGGTGCGAGAACGTAGTGTGTAAGACTTCTGTGTTAATGGCTGTATACGCGTGGTCATATGAGAGCATTTCGAGTGAGGAGCTAACAGTGCCTACCTTCAGCCTTGCCAGAGCATCTAGGGGCGCATTTTGGATAAATTTTAAATCAATTGACTCACGTTCATGTCAGGCACAAAATTTAACATTTGAGCAAGATTGAGTGACTATTTAGAATAGGTTTGTTTTGAGTAATAATTCATATGTTTGACCATTTCCCTTAAAAATCTAAGATCAGAATCTCATTATATTTAATTCGTTGAAAATGTTTTGAATCAAGTTTTACATATCATGTCTACGGATTGATTTCGCTAATATTTTGCTGACCATGCTGAGATAACCGGACTAAAGCTGAATATTAAAGTTATAGAAGCGTAGACAAAACTCTATTCTATTCAACCTGTTGATCTTCCTTATCTGTAACAAGATTAATACTTTTGTTAATTAAGTTTTTACAACTGAGACTTTTGTACAAAACGCATGAGCCGAACCATAATCTAAGTATCTGTCAGAATATGTTAATTTCCTGAAAACAATTATTTTCAACTTATTATCATGTCTTCGTACAACTAAACAATCGACAAACGCTAGTTTGTGGTCACTGGATTTTACTTCCTTTGTTAGCTTAATGCTCTCCGAAATGCTGTTTATATTTTCAAACATTCCGTTTAATGATAATAAAAATATCATCTAATAACCATGACCGAACTGTTGGCGGACACACACATCTTGTGATTGCATTGGTTTCTATGGAATGCATGACAAAATTTGCTACAATCGGAGAAATTGGTGAACGCATTGCTAAACCTTCTTTTTGCCTGTAAAGGTCGCCTCGAAATGTGAATAAGGTGGATCGTAAACATAAGATTAGTATCAGTGAAAGTTAAGGATAGGTTCCCAGAGGAAGAACAACAGAATGTTGACTATGAGATCGACTGTTATGATTGTAATTCAACTTATATGGGAAAAGCTTCCAGACAATTGAATGGGAGGTTGAAGAAACACAAACAATGTTTGAAACATGTTCCCAAATCCTTTGTTGATCTGAAGAAACTTGAGAATAGATTGGCAATAGCGCAAAAGATTAATTTCTAAGGGATCAAAATACTTCAGTATAGTTTTAACACTCATAAAGTAAGATTGACAGCAGAAGCGTTGTGCATATGGACGAACAAGAAGTGGTCTCAGAAAAACTGCTTCAGTACTCAAATGTTAGAACACCGCCATACTTATCAAAGGCCAACAATCGTAGTGTTTCTTGACATCACGGCTGCCTTCGATTCGTTGGATACGACTGTTCTCTGGGATTGTCTATTCAAGAAGGGTGTGCCTGAGAAGTTTATTAGCATCCTAAAAGCCCTATACACAAACACCTCAGGCAGAGTGAGGGCATACAACCACCTCTCTCCATTGTTCCATTCGAGCACTGGGGTTAGGCAGGGTTGCCCAATCTCACCATTCCTCTTCAACTGTGCCATCGATGACATTCTGGAAACAGCCCTGATGGATGTAAGTTGAGGTTGAAGAAACACAAACAATGTTTGAAACATGTTCCCAAATCCTTGGTTGATCTGAAGAAACTTGAGAATAGATTGGTAATAGCGCAAAAGATTAATTTCAAAGGGATCAAAATACTTCAGTATAGTTTTAACACTCATAAAGTAAGAATGACAGCAGAAGCGCTGTGCATATGGACGAACAAGAAGTGAAAGGATAGTATTCAACTAGCAAATATTCGTTAACATGTAACTGAACCCCTTTTCTTTCCAACCTGTTTATTTCACATATATTGTTATTCTGACTGAAATTAATGTAGATTATTTTGGCAACAAAATTATTTATTTGATTTTTGTTCTACATGCACTTCAATGATTCAGAAACTATTTTTTCAACTTTCGACTTGCATTTTTATTTTATTGATTTATTCTTTCATATAAACACACATTAACACCGAATATCAATCATTAATAATTCGATCATACACTACAGATAAATATATATATATATATATATATATATATATATATATATATATATATATATATATATATACAATCCGTTCAGTCATTTATTTAGACATTGTGAACTTTTCACATGATTCTCATTTAATTGATTCGTGTTATTCTATTTACTAAGGTAAACATGTAATTATGATTGGATGGTGGATGTGTCACTCAATTTCGTGGATTGGTTGAAGTTAGATATTAACACCGTTGGATGCTGGCATAGTGGTCTAGGGGTTAAGCGCTCGCGCGCGAGACTGATAGGTCCTGAGTTCGAATCGCATGAGGCGAGGTTGAGGAGTCTCACAATAGGAGGAAACGGCCCTCCAGTGCCTCCAGGTTTTCCATGGTGGTCTAGCTTCAGTTGACTCATTATCTCAACTATTGAAATTACAATAATATTCACAAAGACCCCTCAAATATGATTTGATTAGCACAGGATTGTCAAACGGTGTTTATTTCTTTAATGATTTCGATTATTACCGTGAAGAACTGCAGACAAGGTTGTTGGGTAGTAAATTTGGATAAGTGTTAAAGGATTAAAAAATTGTATTTATTAAAAATCGTTTAAGTGGAGACAACAAAAGGGGTATCGATTTATTGCGTTGGAGGGTGACCAGTGCAAGAAAATTGATCGCAATCTTAGTCAAAATATATTAGTCATTTCATCCCTTGTACTGACACATCATTTTCTCACTAGTGGCTAACTGTGATAAAATATTTCCGAAATTCTAATAAGAAGCTACGGGGTTTACTGGTATCGAGTGTGAGGAAGGTATATATTAAAGAAAATAAATGATTGTGAGATGTAGTGGACTGATTAAAACCCGAATTTTACAACAATACCTCCCATTTTTATAGTCTAGACGTTAAGCACTCTCATGAGACACCGAAGGTCCTAAATTCGACCACCTGTATCAAGACATTAGGTTCACATGACTGGAAAGTCACATACTCAGTGGAAACAACTGTCCATTGCTTCTAAATTCTCAGTGATTATCTAATTTAGATCTGTTTTACAATTTCAAGAATATATAAATGTATTTAATTAGCTTAAATTCAAAACTGAAGGATTTGCTAAGTATCAGTCAATTACAAAATAGATACTATGACATAAAGCCAATATACTTTGTCATTCATATATATATAAAGAGATGTTAATTTTTACAATCACAACGATAGTGTTATTTGGACTAGAGTAGAAGTATCAAAACTCTTTACTTCTTGACGTTTACAACCACTTATATAACTCAAGTTAAGAATCCAGTTTTTTAAGAGCTCAGAATAAATGTTCTATTTCAGTATAACCTATAAATCTCTATACTTATTTTCATTATAGTTATAATTTAAATTCTTTCTATATATTTCATCTAGTTCATGTTAATTCATAGAGACAGAAGAGGTTTTGTGGAGATTTTGGAAATTCCAATAGTTGAAATCATGAGTCAGTTGAAGCTAGACCACCATGGAAAACCTGGAAGCACTGGACGGTCGTGTCGTCCTGGTACGGAAGTCCTCAGCAGTGCGCATCCACGATCCAGCCCCCCCCCCACGAGATTCGAACCCAGGACCTATCAGTCTTGCGCGCGAGCGCCTAACCAATAGAACACTGAGTCGACATCGCGGGGGCGAGATCGTGGATGCGCACTGCTGAGGAGTCCAACAACAGAACGGAACGGCCTTCCAGTGCCTCCAGGTTTCCCATGGTGGGCTAGTTTCAATTGACTCATGACTTCAACTAGTGAAATTCATAGTGTCAACATTTGAAATATAACATAATTCATATTCTAACCTGTGAATAACTTTCAAATGAATTCCAATTAATTCAGTTGTAAATTTAGCTATATACTCTTGATAGGGATATAAATCACGTTAGTTACTTATTCCAAAATAACATATGTTTAATTTTCTATTGAATTATAAATATACAATTGAATATAGTTGAGATATCAAATCCAATAATCTTGCTTGTAACAATATGATTACTACACTGAATAAAATACTAGGGCAAGTTAATGTTACGTCCTTGATCTGTCTACCCACTTTTAGTGTTGAGGATACTTATCTAATCCAGATTAAGACCTTGGCGCGATAGACTGATCGACCCAACCTTGAAGCTAGTACGCGTAGTTCGAAGTGGGGTAGAGAGAAGAAAGCTATTCTATCACCTGATTGGTTGACAAGCGCGCAAATGATAGAAGACAAAACAACTGGAACACTACTCTATCTATTCCCGATATCCTGATTTCAGATTATTGTAAAAAGGTACATGAATAAATAGATGACTAACCCGACCATGACGTACAATAATTAGGAAAATACAATCATGTCCAAAACTGGGGATTAATGTAAAAAAATAAGGTACAAAACATTATGTTTAAATGACAATAGCTTTGGAACAAAAAGGTCTATGGCAGTGAATCATACATCAAACGAAACTTATGTTCTGTAGAATAGACTAGAGAAAAGAAATAAATGTTAGTGTTTTACAAGCTTTGCATAAAATGAAATAACGTTCCGAAAAGAATAGCTTCCGTAGTTTGTTAAACCTTCTTGCTTCTCTGTTCACATCAGTTAAGTATAAGGATACGTTGTTTTTGAATACATAAAAGGGGGTATAAATTTCCATATATCCAAAATTTCAATAAACCTTACTTAATTAACATTATTTTTTCTTTTAATAGTGTTAAGAATGAAATACATTTTTTAAATTTAATCTAAACATACATATAGTAATGAATAGATAGATAATTTAAATGATTTGATTGGCTGGAACGATATATATTTGGGTGTATCAATTTTATCTTTAAATTCCCATACATGTTGCTAAGGCATCATAGAAACAACAATTGAACTTGTGTTAAAACAACATTTGGACACTATATTTCCAATATATAAAATAATGATAGTGGTATGACAATAGTAATTTAAGACATAAGCCGTTGGGAATAGATTATCTTATTAACCATCGTAAGTATATAGTTCTATATTAAATATTAAAACCATTTTTTTCATATTATCATTGAAACATAAGGTATGTCTAATATTATTATTGAATTTTGTGAACAGTTCAGAGATTAGTAATGTGATATATATTTCATAATTCAATTATTTATATTTGAAAATGTAAATAATGATACTAAAAGGCACTGAATACATGTGCGCTACACAAGTCATTTCATTTATGTATGGGTTATGATACTGCTAGGGTGCTCAGACCGAAACAGGTGTTTTCCTAAAGGTTTGATTGACAAACCAATAGAGCAACTTTAGGAGATGCAGTCCAATATTTGTTGGTGTCCAATGATTGGTTCATACGCCATTAGTTCCTTCAAGATACTGGAGCCTATGTTCATGATTGGTTTGGAATCAGGGTTTTCCAACTCCCTTAGGTGGACTCTTCGTGTCCACCAACCCGGTTAAGGCGCCGGACATTCGCTTCTCGTTCTTTGAATTTCGTAAATAAAAACCGTGGTGCGAGAAGGCAGTGAGTAGGACTTCCGTATTAATGGCTGTATACGCGTGGTAATGTGAGAGCATTTAGAGAGGGATGGCTAACTCTTTCCACCTTCGGCCATACCAGAGCATTTGGTTGTTCATAATTCTTTTACATCTAGTTATTACATAGTTGAATACTAGATCTCTCACGATCACAACATACTTAACAGTAAACTGAACAACACCATCTACATGTTGATTCTGTATATTTCATATTACTGTCTTGATGAAGATATTCATGAAAAATTTCAGAGAGAAAATTATTGACTCTATTCTTTATAAATATAATTAATAAAATCTTATGGTTGTTCCATAAACATAATGATGGAAGTAGTTGATGTTGAACAAATCTATTCTTATTCTACTAGTAAGAACTGTTTTTACTGTTAATTATGTACTATGCATGAACTGATAAATAACACTAGTACACAATAGAACGAATATATATATATATATATATATATATATATATATATATATATATATATATATATGTGAGTATACCCTATCAAAATGTACACAGTAATACATCATTACTCACTTTCTCTTATTCATATTAAAATATTTGTATCTGAAAAAATTCGATAATTCTAATAATCAGGCTGTAGGACAAAGTAATAGTTGCCGATCTCATGTATATAATTTTAAAAATGAGTAATATTTAATGCTCAATACTGAATGTAAGAGCACAAAAACAAACAAACGAACAAATAAATAAACAATTTATTCATGAAATAATACTGAAATGAAATGAATTCATTACTATTGTATTGTTGTTGTTGTTGTGGTCTTTGGATCAATTATACGAATACATGGTATATACTTGGATTCACCAATGATCATTTGAATAAGTAATAAGGTATTAAAATTAATGAATGCAATGGCGTAATGTAATACTCTCTCACTCACTCTCTCTCTCCTTCTCTCTCTCTCTCTGTATATATATATATATATATATATATATATATATATATATATATATTTGACCGAAATGTACACCATTCATTTCAATTTCAACAGAATCATTCTATAGACCAAGGTATGGGTAATGTAAACTTAATATATTCAAAAAAAAACGATTGTTGTTACGTGGATATTTTCTCAACTAGATGACATGAATGCGTTATAATGTGGCTTATGATATTTCACTAATAAAAGGTTGTAATCAGTGATTGTTATCAGTGCTTTAATGACTGTTTTACAATTTTCAGATAATATCGCACATTTCTGGTGATCAGTCCTTATAACTGACGTCCAATCACTTCTGTAATAAACATCATGCGTGAAAGTTTTGATATAGTTGTACGAAATGATAAATATACATTGACAGTCAAATTGTTGTACAGTGTATCAATTATTCTATTAATCATATGGTTGATCAACATTTTACCAAGTCTTTTTCAATGGAGAATCAATCAAGTCGATCATGATGTAATACCTAAAACAATAGAATTTTCGTGCAATAATATATCTGTTCCAAACGGGTCAGAATCAGATCTTGCTAGTGTATTACACAAAATATATTCCCCTATCAGTAAAACATCCGTTCAAAAATACCCACTGAGATATAGTCTGGAAGAAAATAGACTTGAGAAATTATATGATTCATTGGGTGTGAATAAGACCGTAAGTCAACTATTAGAAATATTCTTTGATGTTGAATAGACTGACTGTCTTCTAATTAACTGATCCTTACTAATTATTCATTGATATTTCAAAATGATCGAGATTATGTGTGCAAAATATTTGTGTACATTGTTCAATTTCACAGTAGTTTTCGTCACAGTGATCCACTCACTACCAGGTCTGTTGTTGAATCATCACAAAAACTTTGGTTGAGAGATGATGTTTGTAAGTAGAATGTGTATGGTGAGATATATGAGGAGTTGAAGACACGTTCTTCAGATGTTTCTGGATGACAAGTGTGAAATAACGTCCGTTTCAAGCTCTCCATCAAATTGATGCTCACATCTCGTGTTCGTTTCATTCAAATGGCATCAATTGCATGAATGACATCAATAATAAACCTCGCCATCACTACTAACCATCAGGATAAATATCATTGATAGAAAGGCTGTAAATTATCCCATTGTTTATAATCTTGTCTGGATTTTGATGAATCTCCGAAGGAAAGAACCTCGAATCCTAGTTTCCATTGCCGCTCACAACTATATCCATTCCATAAAACATTTGGACATATACCGTTCACTTGGATATGAGATTGACGAAATTATATTTTGTGCGTTTGATTACTGAACTATGTATAAAATAGATGTTAGATATGATGCTCAATAAATTGTGAAAATCAACACATGAATTTGTATCAACTCATGTTTCAGGTGAAGACGTTTCTCAACTATGGGCATCGTACAATTTTTAGACCAATGAACTTTTCAAAATGTCATGCTTCGAAATGTGCAGTTATCACTGACATGAACAGATGGCGAGAAGCTGATGCACTTATACTGACAGAAGATAAAGTGCCGAATGGAATTCGACCTCCAGAGCAATTATGGTTTAGTTTAATAGAAGAGTCGCCTGTACATATTGCTATGGCAGGTACACTGGAAAATGAAGTGAGTAATTCTGACCATAGTAATATTACTAATCTTTATCATTTCATTACGGTTGTATGTAGCTGACGAGGACTACAAAGTGTGAATAGATTCGTGTTACTCAACGAATAATGTCACCATTCTTCATTTTGATCCACGAAATGGACTAATTGTGTGAAGTTTATGAATTCTCATGAAACACATACCTATGCGTCACACAACAGTAGAAGTTGTCCAGCGAAAATGTTTAAACCTGGTTTGCTTTAGCACACATGTTACACTGTGATTGATTTTATAATGGGACGTTTTGAAGAAGATAAATAAATAAATTCGTGTGCAATTTTAGCTTCGAATTCGTGGTCAATGTTCGAATTCAGGTGAAGACATTCATTAATTTAATGCATATTCATTGATTAGTTCATGAAATTTTATATAGTTTCCAACTGAAGATTCAATTATTCAAATGAAAATAATGTTCACCTCTTGGCGGAACTCCATAGAATTCATTTCACCACTTTACACTATTATCGCAACTATCTTACAACCAATTTCGATTATGGTTAATTTTGGTTAAGCCCTTTTGTTAACTTACTTAACAAACAATCTTATAAGAACAGTCACAATTCGTATATTCCTTTGTAGCGTGATGACCACTAGATCACATGATAGACACTAGCTAAAATGTTGATCGCTTAAATATCACTCGATTATTCATTCACCTCCAGGATCATCCACTAACCAATTAGCTTGTTTTCGATTAGCGAACGTATAATATGTACGCCATCATTTAGATCAGTAAATACCATTTGATTGAAAATTTCTTCAATATTTTCAGAATATCAATATAAAGGAGTGATAGTCAAATCATACTCGAAGTATAATTTCATTCTAAAGAAAACCGACAGTTTCCAAAATATTATTAACCACACTATTAGAGGATATTCTGATATATCTATGTAATATGCCACAAGGCATATTACCTGTAGTTAGGATTTAATAGGTACAGGTTGTAAACCCAAAAAAAAACTTAGACAGCATCGTTCTTTGGCTGCGTTCAAGACATTTTCGGGAGCTTACTTCATTCGAATCCTTATACTAACATTTATATGTTAACAGTAGATTTCACTGTTGACGTAGATACATTGAGCAAGTGATCTCTATGCTTTGTTCATTATTCATTGTTATATATATGCCTAATATCCGCTTAAACTAATCAGTAAAAACCTGTCGTAAATACTTTCGACGTGTCATTCATGTCACCATTATCGGGACGATTTTCTATCATTTCGTTTGCATCTATGCAACTAATTGACACAAATGAATTTGCATAATAAATAGACTGTTAGAGATTTCGATTTGTCCACATGAATCATAGATGTCACTAATTACATATGTCATGTTTATTCACGAGCAAGACTAATCTACTTGTAAATATTCCTTTATTTTGGATACAATACACAAACTCTTACCTTTGAAAACCAGGAAGCACTGAACAGATATTTCATCTTAGTAAAGAACTCTTGAGCATTGCAAATACACCACCACACCAGAGGTCGTGATCAAAACACTCAGGTCTGTACCGTTAATCTATAATCCAAAACGACAAAACTAAACACTACCCACGAACCACTTTACTAAAACATTATTCTAATATCAAAACTACTAACTTGCTCATTCATTTCAATATCCATGATATCATTTTACTTGAATTTATCCCTCTGATATCAAGATTAATTACACTATCTCCTTCCGTCTGGATTCAACGATTTACTCACCATACGGTTCCTATGAGCCATACATGAAGCACCATGGACCAGAAACACGATATCCTTTACCTTCTAGAAACTTCGCTACTGGGAAATCAAAGAAAGTTGCATGGTTTGTGAGTAACTGTATACCGAAAAGTCCAAGAATGCAATACGCCAAAGAACTTTCACGACATATCCCGGTGAGTTTGACAAAGCTTAGCATTGAGTTTCTAAACGTTTTTCAATGATCTCAGTGAGACCAACAATTGATGAAAGACTAAATGCATACAGCATGAAGCATGCAACTTTTGTCACTCGGAACTAATTCGTCATGAGAGTGATTTTCATGTTATTAATCATTTCTTCTGACATGATGATAAAAGTGATTGGAAAGTTGATTGGATCCTGTAGGTTCAAATGAAGGAGAAACGAATTAATAATGATTGGAATATAATGAAACAAGGTCTACTGAAATTGTCTTGATTGATTCAGAGCAATGCGTAAAGTATATATCATCAGTGTACTATTCCCACATCTGCACGATTGTATGTTCTATCATTGCGTTGACAACAGGTCTCCATCTCTGAAACCCCGACTTCTCGATCACGCATGCGTTCTCGATGGAGTTCAAGCACTGATTCTTTAGCAATACCTACTTTCCAGCATGTAGCAAAATAGATAAACACATATAAGGCCCTCAAGCACTCAATCTTTAGCATTGCTCACTTTCACGGTCTTTTGAGCGAGGTTTCGTAGTTACTGATTGGTCATATACTGTTGATGTTTAACGACCAGTGAAGGTGTTCGATTTTATAACGATGTATGTTCATTACTGGAATTTATAATAAAAATCACCAACTATGAATATTTGATTGTCTTTCACTTCATTGAGAATTTATCCTGTAAATGTACAAGTTGGTTAGTCTATACATATAAACAAATGAGCATCTCAGAAATGTCAGGGATAGTGCTCAGATTGAAGATGATTTCATCGAATCGCCAGTTTGTAGGGAACTGTATCACTGGATCAATATAACTACATGTGACTATTACTTAAACTGATCTCACAAGATTGCCAATCCAGGTATCCTAACACCATACTCATTGATCACTGACTTTTATGTCCAAGTGTTATATGCATGTACATGAGTGACTCACTGTGTTCATGATGGGTATTTAGAAATGCTGGATACAGAAGTGCTGCTGTTGATGTGTCCATAGTTATGCCGAAATGGCTGTGCAGTGCTCTCACGTTTTCAATGATGTTCTAGTTTAGATCTGCTTACGAACTCAACTATTAAAATTTTAGGAGGAAACTGATCGTTTTATCAAACATACGCACAGTGAATTCGATGCGGTTACCAGCTTCATCGTTAAAACATGTAATTTATCTGTTCCGTAGTTCACCGATTCATTTTCTATTTTCAGCTTGATATTTATGGTCAGTGTGGCACGTTATCCTGTCCAAAGTATAATCCGACTTTTACCTCATCAGATAGCTGCTTGAAAATGATTCGCGAAAATTACAAGT